AACAACAACAACAACAACAACAAAAAAAAAAAGGAAACTTATGAAAGAGAAGACAGCAGTATAACATTATTCAGCAAGCGAATCATCTTCAGCAGCAGTCACACTTTTTTATAATTTGTCTTTAGTACACAGATGCCGTCTTTTAGCCGATAACCGTAACAACATCCTCTGGAACTGCTTAGATGTCTTCCTTGCATTTTATCCTTCCAGGCAATGTTGATAGACACCGAATAGGATGGACAGGGGAAAGAAAAACGTCTGTTAATGTGAGATATTAAGATATTTCAAAGTTACTGTAATTCTTAAACAATAATTTTTTAGTAAGGCTTTATTAGTTGATTTGAATTTATTGCCAAAAGATAAGCAAAAAACTAACTTTTCACACATTCCATCATCACTTGGTAAAATACCTCTTGCTACACGTGTTTCAGCAACTGATCTAGATTCTCTTGTCTTTATGTAAGGGTACTGATACACTTGCGTTTCTAAAAACCAAGATGTTATTCAGCGTTCCGGTCGTGGCTCTGAAATTGAGTTTCCAGTTATAGGACTAACTACTTACTGCTGTCCAGAAGAGTAACGCGGCTGTCAATTGGAGTATCAAAGACAAGCTTATCAAGCAGTTCACAGGGCAAATTGACCTTGCCTCGGCATTCTTCTTCTGTTGTAATATATGGACATGGTTCGAGACCGCATACCTCCTCTTCTGTTGATTCACCGCTGCAATCGGCTTAATTAGTATAAACAGTATGAATATGCCTAATAGGTTAGGAAATGCATTTTTTTCTCGTTTCATATCACCGTTAATCACACCTGCAAATTCGTGGTCTTCCGTAACACGCCCGTACTCGAACTCTAACTCCACAACCTCCACAAGTGACAGAACAGGAACTCCATGCGCCCCAATCACTCCAATACGATTCTGAAAACAGGTCATATCTGTACTTTTTTTCTTTCTGTGTCTTATGTTGTGCTGCAAAACTTTTTTTATACAGAAATCGTTTTCTTCTGGTGAACATTTCAGGTACAGATAACTTCAAGCTGATGTGCACTACGAATCATAATTTCAAAAATACTTTAAAGATATATGAATGCATACTTCGATATGTCGGTTTCTGTGTAGTTGTAATTATTATGGTCGGCTGCGTAGTCTGCAATTTTTAATAAGTTTATGCATTATTTGGTTTATACACAGAAAAAAACATAAACCAATGTAAGAAATTTAAATTTTTCTTGATTGGTAAAGTATTAATATAGAGTTAAAAATTAAATTAAAATATACTCACCGTTTTTGTCGTGGACGTAGTCGATGTTGTGTAAGGTGGAAGCGTATAGGTTATGGGAAATTCGCCATCTGAAAGACAGCAAAAGATAAAAACCATCTAAAGAAATATGATATTTTTTTTAATTTGAAGTTATGCACCAGCAATTCGACTTACATGCTCTGTATTGAAGCTGGAACCCTGTGGAATGGCTATTCACTATATCTGTAGTTGAGAATATTACAAGGAAGTCGGTACCTTCACTTATCAGTGGTTCAGTTACTGTATTGCAGCACAGTCTTGGGCCTAAAAGTTAAATACAGTTCACTTGCCTAAAAACTATAATTTTTTCAAAAATATTTTTGTATTTTTTACTGGGTAAGTTATTAAGACAGAAGAGTGATTTAGTTTCAAAAAAATAAAAATAAAAATAAACCGTGATATTTATAATTAACGACTACCTGATGCGATAACATTTTCTGTGTATTTAACTTCCACATAGCTTTCACAAGTATCTAAGCAAGTAAGGCTTATTCTGTCGAATTTTACTTGAACTTTTGCTGCTGACTGAAATTTATTATTTACGAGATAACAGCGATATAGTGCTAAAAAACGCTTATTGCTGATCGAAATTATAGTGTAAATAACTGTTATATTCAGAAATAGTACGATTATAATTTAAAACAAAAAATATAATGGCATGGTAAGAATCAAAAACTGATGAGTATTTTTTGGAAATTTTCTTACTCGAATTCTCCATATGCAGCGCATATTTGAGCTCATTGACGGATTCTGTAAAGTCTGATAATAATTTGTGGCGGTCAAATCACCCCCACAGTTTAAAGTACCTAAAACAATATTTAAATCTTACATATGTACAGAAGCGACTTTTTCTGTCGAAATAAGTTTGGATGAAACTTTAGTTAAACTCAGTTAAAAAGAAACTAAAAATGTAAATAGAATTACTTGATGGTTCTACTTCGTCACATAGTTTTCCGCCATAACCGTCTGGACATCTGCACTTTGAGCAATCGTTCGGGTCTGTATAACCGCCGTGAGAGCAGACCAGCTGTCTACTGCATTGTTCTAAAACAACTCAGCTAAATTCTTATCTAGAATTTTGAAGATTACTCTTAAAAGATTGTAAGTGGCTAAAATTTGCTCATTTACACTAAGAGAACTAACTTTGACAGTATCGTAAGTTAATCATTTTAGCGTCTTTGAATGATAATTGCCAACGTTGACCAATTGTTTGTTGATATTTTGGATCTCGGGTAACAATTGTGTACCTAAATTAGGTTGTGGTCAGATTCTAAAAATTTAATGGTCAAAGCATGGTCACAACAACAGTTCAGCAATAGCGACAGAAGTACTTGTTGTAGTCGAAAGAAAAAGCTTTTGATGCGTAGTGCATAACCGATCCCAGATCGTACGGCTGTCCCATGTTGTCAGTGTCAGATACGGTTCGTTTTTCAAAATTTCCTTCAGTTCCCTAAAATGTATTCACAAGCCAATTAATTGCTGTTTATCGTTACATTTTTTTTGTTGCCTAGTAATTAAGAGTTAAAAGTAGACTTTGAATAACATACTCTATAAATATTATTGTAATTAATGTTGATATAGTTATCTCTATCGCTTCTTGATTGTTCATGCCATAAACCTAATGCGTGAAGTGTTTCATGCGCCACAATACCAACCTGTAAAAATGTAAGTTATTGACGAAGTAAAAAAAAGTATAAAGTAGATGTGTTTAAATTATTAAAATTAAAATAGAGATTGACTAAAAAATGACTAAAATTTCTTGTCAAACCATAATACGACAAATACTGATTTTAAGATTATGTAGCCAGAGAATGTGTTTTTCACGTTATCTAATCAATAAAAAAACTAACATGTTCACAACCAAAACCGATGGAAATAAGTTGTCTACCACCGATTCTACCAACACTTGACCAACAGCCACTACCACGAAAATACGACAAATAATCCATATCATATCCATTTTCCTGGAACAAGTAAAATATTATTTTTTTTTACAGTTCTTAAAAACAACAATTTTGCTCAAGTTTATGCCTATAAATAAGCAAAAATTATTTGAATACCTGAAACCTGAAGCAAGTATGCTGTTCAATATGTCTTAGTGCACTTCTAATTACACTCTTCCATAATGCTGAAAAGAAAAAGAAAATTTTTTTTGATGTTATTCACCAGAAAATTAAAAGTTTTCTTTATAAAACAGAAAATTTCTTGTAAAAGCTGTTGTTTTCAAAAAAAAGAAGCATTTTTTAATGTAAAAAAACACCCAAAATAATTACAGCTATAACTTACGATCAGTTTCTTCGAATCGGTAAGATATTATAAGTTTTTGCCAGAAATATTCTGTTGATAACTGTGCTTGACGACTGTTGCCTGTAAGTAACTAATTCTCTAATACATGACTTTTTTTCTTGTAGTTCAAAACAATTCACAATATCGTAATTTTGCATATTTGCTGTGGTATATAAACTGAATGTATTAAATCTAACGTCGATTTGTCTTTCGTAGAATTTCTTCAGCTTGCGGTAGTGTAAGCAAAATATCGCTTTCAAAGAGGTCTCCAATGACACCGGCTTGACGATTAGCACTAGCTTCAGTACCGTCACTAATCGATACATTTTTTGCTAGTACATTTATTTTTTTTGCATCCTAAAATAATTCAGCAATGTGGTATTCAGCAACAATATTTCTGATTAACCAAAAGAAAGCAAAAATCTGTGATAAATTCACTGACATAATCGTTGAATGTTCCATGTTGACGAGCAATTCTTCTATAGAACTGATTTAGCAAATATCTAACTTCAGCATAACGTTCCACAGCACTATCAAATTGCCGTTCCACTTGACACTAAAATTATTTTATAGTCACCAAAAATTAATTGAGCAATTTGAAGTAGTAATTCAACATTGTTAAATGGTTTGAATTGAACTAAAGTATAATAAAGAGCCGAAGTCGACTGTTTAGCAAAGATGCAACAATTTTGATGTCTTAAGACTTTCAAATAAACTGTTTACCTTATCTTTTTAAAAAAAATTTTTTTTTTTTACTTTTTTTTTTGTAATGTCGAAAGCTTCTTTATGGAAATTTACATTCTTTTCTGACAACTGGTCAATTTTTTTTCTTACTTTAGCGAACCGAAACACTAGGAATACAGTGAATACTGCAAATAATTTGTTGGTCATTGGTGACTGTTTTTGAAAACAGTTTTGTTGCTTCTTCTCGTCGTCAAATCTGTAAAACAAAAAATCGGTAATAATACAGAAAATTTAATTGTAGTAAGATTAGCCGGACAGATTTTTTTGGTACATTCAGTGTCACTGTTTAGATGACTAATAAATCAAACGCAAAATTTCTGTG